CCCCCCCCCAGCACAAAGAATTCAACATGCATGAAAATAAAAAAGAGGTCGGATTTGGGCCCTACTCCCAAGGTGCAGCGAGGTCCGCAGCGGGAAAAAAAAAAAAAAAAAAACTCGGTGGTTTTTTAGCGTGCCCGGGGTACCTCGGGCGGGGTGCCCGGGACGCCCGGCCAGGCGCCCCCGGAAAACTAGGTAAATAGTAAATACTAAATCGACTGAGCTATAAGCCCGACGTTGATATTCATTCTCGAATCCCGATCTCGTTTCATGCCGTAGTTGAGTCTCTGCTCATGTTTTCTGTTCCGGCTCGCTCGTCCATTCCTTTCTTTTTTTAACGCACAAATTGAGAAATGCAAGGAAAATAAGCAACAACGAGATGACAAATTCCAGATTACATCATCACATTGAAAGCCAGATAGTCACACTGTGTCCAGAGAGCAGCATTGCACCAATAATACACCAATGGAGGTTCGTAGTACTAGAAACCCAATGTCAAGGAGAGCTTCTCTATCCGCCACAACACAAGAGTCCAGTCCCTTCACACTCCTACTTGGCGCTCAGCGCCCAGCCTACTCCTACACAGCTACGATCAGCCTACTAATAGACAATGCAACTGTTGACATGAGCGGCAATCCGACGAAGTACTTGAAGATGTTGCCCAAATGCAGACCATCGCCAATACACGGTATGTGGCCTCTCATCATCATCATCATCATCATCATCATCATCCTTCGCCCTTCCCTGACTTTACACCCACGTCTTCCTCCCTTACACCCGAAGACCATCCCTGCGCCTCACTGTACATCCAAGCCCAGCCCGCTATGAAGGCTGGCTATGGCGCTGCCCTCAGCAGCGCCCTGCTTCACCACACGACCGCACGTGCGCAGCCTCTTGCTCCCAATGCCAGCAGCCAGCCCGCGAGCTATCGCTTCAGCAGCGCTGCCGCCAGCCAGCAAGTGACCGAATTCCTTTACGGAAAGAGCTGGCCTGCTCGCGCAGCCTGGCTGCACTGGCCTGGGCCCAGAAGCTTCCGGAAGGCCCCAGGATGCTGCCTTTGCTCTGCAGCTACTGGGCCTCGTTCGGTTGGGCCTCCCACACCGGCAACCTGACGTGCATTTATGATGACCGGTCTTTGCCTTGGCACAACAAACAGCGAAATGTAGTTCCACCTCGGCTTAAATGACACATCAGCGAGTTCTCATCATCCAGCATACACCCCAATGACACCTCGTAGACTTCCTGGCGCGCCCACAAGAGCCTGGGCCGCCGCACGTTCAACGCCCAAGCATTATCACTGGCCCACTCACCCGTGAAGCACCGAACACTGCGGACAGCTATTGCGAAGAACAAGTGTAGTTGCGAGGATTTGGCTCCTCGGCACAGTGAGGGGGGTATAAATTGGTTTTAAAGGGGTTGAAGGGGTGTTAAGGGGGGTGCCTTAGTGTGATTCTCTTATTTTCTTCTTTATCTTGTATTCCGTGAGGAATTCTAATGTGATTATGTGACCCTCAGCCAAAAGTCGTTTGTATTGCAATTCTACACAACATTTTTTTTTTTTGTGGATTCTTTTTTTTTTTTTTTTTTGCGCTACGGTTGCGCAAAACACTGCCCGGGGGTCATGCCCAGCCGGGCGCCCGGGTGGGTACCCGGGCATAAGTTGGCTGCCCGGGCGCCCGGAAAAACAGCCTAGGTTCACCAAGGAGTATGCATGATGGATTTCAGTCAACGTTACAAAATATTACATGTGAAACAGTTTAGAGAACACATCTACTACAGTTTAATACATGCTATGAATCTGCAAACAGTCACGGGGAAGGCACGGTAGACAGCTTCCACCCAATAAACAATTCTAGAAGAGAAAGGAATATCCATTCAACATTAACTGCCTGAACCCCGCCGGGGAGGCAAAGGAGAAACAAGTAACATCAACAAGTGAGGTATCTGGCAATCAGCAGGGACAGCAATCGGTGAAAGTGAGGATCATTGTTTTCACACACACACACACACACACACACACACACGCACACACACACACACACACACACACACACACACACACAATCAGCAGGGACAGCAATCGCTGAAAG